CTAATGATACTGAGTTTAAGTGTAATAATAATTGTACATATTATGTCTGCAGTATTAGGTAATATTTCAGTGTACCTTACAAGACTTTTTCATAACGTACGAAATGCGACGGTTTTCCCGAAATTTCGCCATATTTTCGGACCACCAAAATTTCGGTCGTCGTAATAGAATCCGTCGCATTATTTTTAGCACATTCCAATAATTGTGGCTTCATCGATTCATTTTGTTCTTGAAAAGTTAGTGATATGATGGTGGGACAAATAAACACAATATTCCATGATGAATTTAATGTCAAGTAATACGCTTATCCGAGAATCTTACTCCTGGGAGTACACTGGAGAACAGCGTGAAACTGAATGAGTCGAGCCGGACCCCTTAAGTATAGAGGAAGATGAAGAAATCGATTTATAAGTTTCATTTTGTTTCAACATGATTTGACCGATTTTTAGACAATTTTGAATTTCCTTTGTGTCAGAAAACAAAATGATGAAAAATACCCTTATTTTCTGTGACGTCCGAAATGTGACGGTTTTTGTTCAATTTCGCCATATTTTCGGACCGCCAAAATTTCGGTCGTCGCAAATTGGTCCGCCACAAAAAAGTCTTGTAAGGTAGATCTGATGAGCTTACATTCTGCTATGTTCGAGAAGAGATTCACATGTATGATATGTATATTGTTAAGGATGTATACTTTTCTGCTCAAGATTACTTACGAACCGCGGCATAAATGATAACAGACTGGTTTATTGGTTTATATACCTTATCTTTGGATTTGGAAACGTTGCGACGTTGTCTGAGCTCCATATTAGGATGAGGTGTAACTGGTATGGGGGTGTTGGGGTTAGGAGGGGGTCCGCCCCCACGGGCTGGTGTCATCATCACTGAGTTGTTCAGCTGGGACGGACGTAATAAGGTTGATTCCGGGTCAAATCTGCAAGATAAGTTATCTTAGATAACATATAATCTTCTATTTCTGTTTAGATTTAAAACAAATTATAAGCATATGATTTATCAAAATGTACATTTTGCAACGTGGCATTACCAACCAACCTCTCAAGAAGCTCCTTGGCATTTTTGAAGGATTCAGTCTCGATAACCTCTTCCAGAACTTTCTTCCGCTCAACTTTCAGCTCCGCCAGCTTGGTTCCGTATTTCTGATACCTGGAAGTGGAGAACATTATTATAAACATGATGTAGATTGTAGATTGTAGAACTCTGCTTAAAGGCTGTTTATACAGACAAACTTTAGCTTGCCTCATCATATGTAGCGGGAATGACGCGCAGTTAACCTGGCTACACGGTTACTTGGCTACACGGTTACTTAGAAACGCCTCTCCTTACATACATTACACGTGCCGTTGTGTGCCAGGCAGGGTTTACATGACGTTGACAACAAAGTGACAGTTTATATACAATATACTTATTATAAATATAATTGAGATTTACAGTGATCCACCTGTAACACGTATAGAGGTATAGCTCGCTGGAACGAGTCCATCTTATTATTATCTGTATTTTAACATTTATCAAAATAGCCTCGTAGCTTGTTTTCAGCATGTTATATTTAAATTGTATCATACTTAATTTTCCTATTATAGAACGATCATTGGAATGTACATGAAGCAATTGTATCGATTAGCTCGTTTGCCGTCTGATTTTATTTATAACTTCTTCAATTAAATCATTTTCGCAACGAATTTCGCCAGTTATTTATAAATACTTAATTGTACTCGGACCATCGTGAAAATTAAAAACACATGAGAAATCACACGGTGTACACGATACAACATGACATTTTGTGTTTCCACTATCCGTGAAATGCAGCATCAGGTTAAGTAATAAGAACAATTAACGTACTTAGCAGAGAATGCAGTATCCTGCCGTTATCAGTTATGACTCATTACATAAACATAATTACCGACATAATTACTTGAACGTAATTACCAGGCATTATGTATTTAACAACTGTTATAATCTGTATATTATGCATAGCATGCTCATAGCTGAAAACATGGCTGTATTTCCTACATGAAACTACAAAGTACTAAGCTTTGGTAAACACATTTGGTGGATTGGTCTACAGTTTATAAAATTAGAACTCATTTTTGCTGCATGGAAAATGGGCGACAACATTTAATTTTCAAAATGATCAGATCTTCATTCCCTCATTTGAAACTAGGCAGTGAGTCAGGAAAATATATTCAGACGATATTAAAAGTACAGCATTATCTATTCTATTATTACAAAGCTCGGTGTAAGCAATCCTAATTTTCAGTAATGAATAAATATAACACACATAACGCCGGCACGCACAGGGATTATATTTCAATTTTTCCCGCGACGCGAAGCACGAGGGATTATTATGAAAATAACGCCGACGTGCTTCAGCACGAGAGGTTATTTTAATATAACCTTGAGCCTGCCAGCGTTTTGTGTTTTAAACACCTCTGGGGTGTTGCTAAGTGTATGCTAAGTGCTAGGGCTAATTCGTTTTAATATTTACCCTTTATTCTAGTAGCTATATGAGATCATTATGGAAAATATGAAATGGAGTTTGGACGTATATTATACTACTGATAAATAAAACTAAGGTACTAAGGCAGTTGAAATTGGCTTTCTATTTCTAAATAGTTTCTTAATCCGAACGTTGAATGAATATCAATAAGCCTGGCAAGCGAAAAAAGGATTGATTCTGATAATCCCGGCTCCCGGAGGAGTTTATAATACACTAGTAAAGCGACACCTCCATACTCAATACACGACAGTATTTAAGTATAATAATATATATAACTCTACACCATGGTACACATTGCACTTGAGTAGTACACATAATCAACTACTCAATACACTACACCACTAACTAACACCACTAACTAACACCACTAACTAACACCACTAACTAACACCACTAACTAACACCACTAACTAATACCACTTACTAACACCACTAACTGACACCACTAACACCACTAACTAACACCACTAATTCACACCACTAACTAACACCACTAACTAACACCACTAACTAACACAACTAACTAACACCACTAACTAATACCACTTACTAACACCACTAACTGACACCACTAACACCACTAACTAACACCATTAATTCACACCACTAAATAACACCACTAAATAACACCACTAACTAACACCACTAACTAACACCACTAACTAACACCATAACTGCACCACTAACCGTTTTTCTAGCAGATAGTTAACATATCTGTTGATAAGGAAGATGAATACAGGAGCTATAAAGAAAGGAGTAGCGTAGAGGATTCTGCGGGACCACGTTGGGGGGAAGAGGAGGAGATAGTAGCTTATAAAGGATATTATGTAGAGAACTGAGGACCATAACACTATCGAGGATATCAGCTGAAAGTGAGAGTTGTTAGTATAGTTGATAGTTAGTATATAATAATAGTAAGTTAGTATATTATAGTAAGTTAGTATAGTATCTTTATACACTGAAAGTAGTATCTTAAATATCACTTTCAGTGTGCGAATAATTAAATATTCATTAAGGTGCTAAACTGGTATAATACTGAAGGGAAACTGGTATATAAAACTAATATAAAACCGGATCACAATGAAACCTTAATTTAATTGCAGATTTCACACACTCTCAGTTCCCTACCTGGCGCTTGATGATAGCATTACGCTGCTGGGCCGTCTCTATCCGCTTAATCTCCGACTCGAGAAACTCCAGGTGTTCACGGAAGGATCTCTTGGTGGGCCACAACCTGGACAAGACCACACCCATCCTAACAAACAGTGATTTATGACGTAAAGTTTCAAAAGACTTAGAGAAATTACACGACGTTTGATGTCTGAATTTCTGTTACTGTACACGAATTAGTGAGATTATTGTTCTTAAACATTCCGCTGTCCGCTAATGTCTGTAAATTTTATGCCATTAGCTGGAAATTGACTAAAAGTCTGTTTATTTAATACTATTTCCACAAGTTAATATGAGATTGACGCAAAAGCCGAAAGAATATATGTCTATTTATTGGAAATTTTACATAGTGCAAATCTGGGAGGATCAGTTATATTGTAACGCACATTATTTATTGAAATTTGAAACTGCTATATATAATTCTACATAATTATCTGTGCATATTGAAAGCTTCCGACCATCGGAGCATGAATATAATCACTACACTCACACTAATACATACATTGCAACAACAGAGAGGCAAGTGATTTTAATATGGGCCTATCCATGACCAATATCCTACGCAAGATTCAATTATTCTATAATACTTATGTAATATCTGCACAGGTGCAACTTCAAAGTTCAGCCGTGTAAAGTAACCAATTTGTTAATTTCAGAAACACACGAAGAAAGAAACGCCGAAATACATTAGTTCTGAAAAGATATCGAATAGGCGAATATGCTGCACAAGGTTAACGTAAAAATCAGCTGACGTATGATCTATATACCTCTGCAAGAATAAAAGACGTCGAATATCGAAAGCTAAAGTGTGATTAAATTAGGATTACTAGTACACTTCGTTGTATAATGTAATACAAAGGCACAGGGATAACAAGTTATGCATCTTTCTATTAATACTTCAGCTCAGGGAATCAGGCTGGGACATAATATCCTATTACAAACCAGTAGTGTGTATGCGCATAATCGATAAAAACTGGTTTTAAAGACTAATGCTCAATGGGGCTAGGGGCTGGGGAGCTATACAAATACACATGACACGGATATCAACGATTATAAGATAGTAAGATCAAGGGCGTGACCGCGAATCATAATATATCTAGTAAAATAAACAAATAATCCATGGTATCAAAATATCGAATTAAAGCTTTATATATTATAATAAAGATATTGAAAGTGTGAAAATCTTATCTCGCGAAAAATTGGAGCTCATTAAAAATGGCATGTTACTTTAAACTTCCAGATTATCGAATGGCGTTATAACGATCCACTGTTAAAAATGTTATCAAATATTTAAAACTTCTGAAGAAAGTAAATATCAGCCCTTAGCGAGAGAATTTTTCGTGAATCCAAACCCAGCTGAGAAATAATTCTGAGACTTCGACCCCGCAGCCTTTGCCTCGGCAGCACTAGGATTCACGATCTCTAGCCCCTGGAGAGGTGTAAAGGCAATACTTGAAGCGGTCCCACTCCCAGACATTTGTTGTCTCACGGTTGACTTCCCTCCGTATATGGCTTGATCCTTCTGGATCTTTCGTTGTACTTTCTTCGATAACGTCAGAGCAGTCTTCTTATCAATAACAGCACCTCTGACCTTACCAGAACCGGCTTTTCCTATGTTACCAAGAGAGAACCCAAGATCATCCTGCAGCGCATCATCTCCAAGTTGAGCAAAGTTCATCCTATTTGCTCGCCTCCTCAGTTCTGTGACAGCAGTTTTCTCCTTCATTTTCCTCACTCTTCTACCACCACGTTTCTTGCGAGGTTCATCGTCTGGTCTGGGTAATGCTCTGTTTCTAATCGAGGGAGGAGCTTCCTGCATTTTCTCTATCTTCAGGTTGACCTCGTCCAGGAACTGCTGCCCGATTGAACCGTCGCTTGATTGATGAGAAGCGTCTACCCTAGCAGCAAGGGTGCATTTTGCAGCTAATAGTTTGGCTGCTTTTCTGCGATATTCTTTAGGCAATACCTGCACTAAATCTGAATAAAACAATATTCCTGTGTGGGGCATAGCTTGAGATGAACTGAAACCAGAGAGAGTTTTCTTGGTCTGACCCAAAACTTGCACATTGCAACTAGGCATCTTCGAAAGAGCAGTTAGACCACCAGCCTGACCCATTAGCTTAGTGGCGACTGTAGTGCCGATAATACGAGACAAGTTAGGTGCTATCATAGCCATACGAGATTCAACATACTGGAGCACTGATTGTCTGATTTCTTCAAGCTCAAATGCAGCTTTACAAGCCTCAGTTAGTTTGCTAACCTGGTCCTCTTCTAAGGGCTTTCCTTGTGTGGTGGCAGCAGTTACACTCACTACCATCACAGTAGCTGAGGGCAGGAAGTTAAGTGTTTCGGTATCAAACTTATTCTTATGCAAATCGTTATTCAGATAGTTTACAGTTTTGATGAAATCCATTGGGTTTAACACGAGTGATTCCAGCTCAGGGAATCGTTCGTTGTACAAATCTCTTATGTACTTGTGAAGGAAGAATATCTCATTGTCAATTTCAACAGCCATATTATTGGAATCAACAATGAGATTATACTCGGGATGATTTTCAACAGGACCTATCGATTCTGCAGGCTTTTTAGAAAATACGTCAATAGCTTCCTTTATATCATCAAGTTTTTGGGAGTGAAGAAGGCGGTGGATGTTATTATGATCAGTCGTGAAGTCAAGATTGTCAGTTTCCATTTTATCAGGATCATCTTTTATGTCGATCTCTGACGTTTCAAAAGTTGGGTCGTCATCGAGCTCATCTAGATCAGCTAAAAGTTCATCAGCAAGAGACATGTCTGGACTGTGACAGCTACAACCTGAACGTATTTAAGTTAATTGGAAGTTGTTAAAAGGCATTTAATTGTATATGCTTCATGAGTTAAATAAACACTGTTCAATTGAATGAATAACATTGTGTGATCTATATTTGTACATTGATTTAGAAAACAGAAAAGGATATCATGACTATGATATTCTCAACTCATTTTTGTTTGACAATTAGACAAAATGAATATGGTAAATAAAAATTAAGCAGACAATTCATACACTAAATTTTTACTGAACAAGCAATTTGTGATAATTTATTAATCGTAATCTGCTCCGTACCCGTTAAATTGAGTAGCGACTGTAACTGTAAAATGGACTGCATATTCAATCATAATATAGAAAACATTGTTCCCCTTCACAGTACCATGTATTGTCGCACTAAATCTCTTCCACATGCAAATTCACCCGAAAGACACTTTCTAAGAAAATTCGGAGATACTGTACTTTTACGTTCTAGTAATATAACTTCTTTACACTGTTCAGTTATATCGAGGGAATGAACAACAGTTGAGAAATCCTCTCTACCAGATATAAGCTGTCTTATTCTGAACCTACACCAATCCACCAGGGGTCTAGGCTCACTGGATTGTTTGTCTATTAATTCAAGCAGCTTTTCCTTTATCGGATTAGCCGTCACGGGATTTAAATTCTGATAAATGAAATGATAAAATGATCGAGGTATGACCAGGTACTGATCATAAAGAGCTTGGTGTATCAGATGCAAATGATCTAAACCAGCAGTAGAATTTATGAAATATTTCAAGATGCTATCACTGATAACAATATCTGAAATAGAACAGTTGCAGGACAGTAAAAATGCCAGACATTTCACTCTTGAACTGGAAACAATCTCTGCCACTACGCTGCAAGTAACAAGTTTTGACACTTTCCAGTCTAATGTTGACTGTAGTTTCTTTATAAATGTTAGATTATCTGAGTCTTTGAGTATCAATATTAGTTCCTCAGCCACTGCATTGACAGCCTTGTGAGGGTCTATAATATGATCCACAAGGAGCTTTGCAATTTTACAGGTACCCTCTTCTGCAAGCTGCATATTTTGAAAACCCAAATGGAGAGGAGTTGATGAGAGAATTTGCTGAGAGTCATGACAATAGGCAAGGGGATCTGCGCCATACCGAAGCAGCGTGGTGACAGAAGCAATATCTGTGTTGAATACAGCTTGACTGAGGGGAGTCTCTACATCAGTTTTACCAACACCACCCTCTACATCTGCTCCATTGTCAAGCAGTAATTTTAAACACTCTTGGTCACCCCCAAAAACAGCACTGTGTAAAACAGCACCATCTTTTGTTACAACATTGACATTTGCTTTGTTGTCAATGAGAAATTTCAATGTGTCTGAGTGTCCATTTTGAGCAGAAATAAATATAGGAGTTATCCCATCTGTGGTTTCTGATTCTATAGAATTTGGTTGTAATTGTACTAAGAGTTTAACACACTCCAAGTGACCCTCCTGACATGCTAAATGTAAAGGTGTAAGTCCATAATCTGTAGCTTTGAATAAACATCTTGTGCTTACCACTAAAAGCTTTAAGAATTTGCCTTGCCCATTTTTGGCACAAGTATGTGCAATTGTCCATCCTTCAAAAGAATGTACTTTATTTGGGTCCACATTTTTCAACAGGAACCCAAACATTTCCAGATTATCATTTTCAAGAGCTCTGTCGAGACATGATGTTCCTTCTCCATCTACAATGCAAGGTCTTGCTTTCTTTGATACTAAAAATTCAACCAAATCAAGACAATTACTTGCACAAGCATTCATAAGAGGGGTGATCCCTTTGTAAGTGATAGCATCAATTTCTGTATCCTCTGACTCAAGTAATAGTTTACAACATTGAAGATTGCCTCTCTGAGCAGCCAGATGGAGTGCTGTTCTTCCTTGATTATCGCTACAGTTAGTAGATTTTCCGGAATCCAGCAATTTTGCTAGGTCAACAGCAGATTCAAGAATGCAGGCTTTACTAACATCACTCACACTGCACTCATCAACATAGTCGAATGCACTCGAATAATCTGATGGGGAGCCGGACTTCTTTCTTTTGGAAGCTGGAATCATGCTAGGAGGTATGTCAAATCAATTGCCAGTTTTTGCCAAGACAAATAGTCATACAACAAATGGGCATTATATTTAAATGAATTGTTTTACATCTTTTTATTCTGTAAAAATGTGCTAAAATTAAATTTCTTGTTTCATTGAAAAAAATTGTTTGTTTCATTGAGTTGCAGATGAGGAGTTTTTGTATTTATCCTAAAAATGTAACTAGTTTGGTTATTTTTTTTTTTTTTTTTTTTTTTTTTTTGAAATATAATTTGAAACATTACAGTAACGTTATTCAAATCTCAAACAGAAACAGTATATAACAAAGTTTTGTGTTTTGATCATATGATCGTGGATGTATAGTGATTGATTGCATAATTTTGAATTTGATTGATGGTGATTGTGAGTGAGAAGGTTATGACAATAACATGAAAAAATTCTACTGAATCCAAAATCAAAAATCAGAAAATGTTTACGATATACTCTAATGGATATTAAAATTAAAAATAATTCCCAGAGTGTAAAAGTTTTAAAACAAAAGAGTAGAACATTCTACAAAGATTTGGATAGTAGATCTTGCAAAGCAGGGCTGCAATTCCTGGGGGGATTGGAGGGGTCGATCCCCCTGGCCCTCCTAGATTTTCGGCTAAAGATTTCAATTTTCTTTTTAGTTTACTAAAAATAATAAACTATAATTCTTGGCAGGGCCCCAGAACCCTGCCTCCGCAATTCCGCAAACTCAAGCTGGCCTCGCTTCGCTTAGCCATTCTCCTCCCTCATCCCAAGTTTGAAAACGGAATTACGCCCTGTTGGAAAGGCAACAGCCTACTCAGTTTAACAAATGGGGATAAGATTGGATGGTGTTTCCTACATTATCGGCCTTCTAAGTTTCTTCGATCTTCAGCCTACTGTAACTGGTGAAATAGGAATGTACGGCCAATATTTATAAGGAAATGGAACCAAACAGGACCTTAGCAAAATTAGCCGGATCCGGATTGGACTGAAGGCACCAATATCGCCCTTTATGCAGATGACACTAAAATTTGGAGGGAGATCCTTGGTTACCCTGACCATCACATAATCCAAAATGACATCAACAGATTATATGATTGGTCAGTGAGAAATCGAATGAAGTTCCACCCACAAAAGTGCAAAGCCCTCTCTGTGTCCCTGCAAAGAAACGTGCTGGATAACTTGCCATTCAATACCTTCTTTTCTAAACTTTCTGGAAGTGATATTGACTTTGTGCCCTCTCAGTCAGATTTAGGAGTTGCAATAAACTCCAGGTTTAATTGGGGTGCACAATGTAAAGCGCTTGTGTCCAAAGCTACCTCTAGACTTGGACTACTTAAGAGAACATGTCATTTCACTACTGATAAAAGGCAGAAAAGATCGTTCTATTTAGCGTTAATTAGGTCTATATTTGAACATTGTTCTGTCATATGGTCCCCTCAATCTGCAACTCATCTTCAACAGTTTGTTGCTATCCAAAAGAGGGCTATTAAATGGATCAATGGTGAACCTTACTCCAGTTATAATGACGATAAACTTGCTACAGAGCAAAAGAAACTAAATATTCTCCCTGTTAAACAGAAGTTTATTTATAACGATCTTATGACCTTCTATAAAATAGTGAATAGCATAATTCCAGTTTCGCTCCCTACATATATAGTCCTATGCCGTCCAGAGGGCACCCGATACACTAGGCACAATGCTCAAATAATTGATATGTCGGATACATCAACTTACATGAGTACCACTGTGCCCTGCTCGGATGCCTTCCGAAATAGCTTTTTTCATAGATCTATGCTGAAATGGAATAGTCTACCAGTATGTATCCGGCAGTCAGAGCGGATTTCTACTTTTAAGGCCAAACTGATCAAGTACCTCTGGGCTGCCGATACAGTCTGGCCAGATTAGCTCATCAGTCTTATGAGTCTCAGAAATTTGTTTTTGTTGGTTACAATTCTGTCCGTCCAATTTCCTATCTGCTTGTCCTTTTCTTTTTTTCTTTATCAGTTGTGACGGAATTGTAATGAACAAAATCCTTATAATTATTTATGATATGTTTGATTTCTTGTTAATTTTTGTCATTCAAATTTGGTAGACGGCCCCAACGTTAATGTGGCTCTTGCTATGTGTTGGTTCAGCCGAATTAATTATTATATAATCAAGTTTATTTTTCTCGTTAGTTGTCATCCGGCCTAACATTAAGCAACTTATATTGCAGTACCATTTATCATTTAGTATATCAAAATATGTCATTGTAATTTTGCATGGCTGAAATGTAACGCTTGATTTATATACATAATGATTAATTGAATTTTCAAATTAAAAAAAAAAATGTCGATCGCTACTTCAAATAACACTTGTTACTTTAATTGCCTAACCCTAACCGTTACCTTAACCTTAACCCTAACCTTAATCAATAAGTACTTACTAGACTAGGGTGGGCCATTTAGTGTTTCTCATTATTCTCTTTCAAGGGTGATTTAATTTATATAAATGCATATACGATATATTAACAATTGATTCTAAATCATAAATACATTGCAAAAGATTTCATCTCCACGAAGTTACTACAATGGCGGCAATTCAATTTAGGGAGTGTGCTTTCGCAGGAGATGTAAACTATGTATATATAAATTGTTTCAAACAGTATACACATAATGTCACAATGACCCTATATAAAAATAACCCTTCAAAAATTCAATATTTTGAAAATCACCCTTGGCCTTGCGGCTCCAAGTTCAAATCTAAACTGTCTATATTGACAAAGTTCTTTCTCGCCCCTCTGTCTCCCCGGAGAGAAATTACCGTCGCTCTTAAGATTTCGAAACAAAGGCGCTTCCTAATGTAAACTATGTATATTGGTTATACCCAGGAAAACTTACTATATACTCGCTGGGGCCTATCTCCGAAAGTAAAAGAAATAGAAACTTCCGGTTTTTACAAAATGTTCGCCTTGTACTGCCGTTTTCTCAGAAAAGGCAGTCAGTCCAATTTTTCGAAATATGACAATATTGGTATCAAAATATTCAGTAGAAAATTCTCTACAACATGAGCTACATATTAATGTATGAGGTTAGATATCTCCCAACAAAACTTTTTGTACACCTCTACGAAAATTTGGAATGACCTCAGCCCCTATGTATTCGAAATATGTGATGCTAATGTAGATGGGTTGATAATCCCGGGTTCTTCCAAGAATTCAGACTTATCAGCTTCGTCAGGTGTTATTAAATCTAACCTTAAAAAGCACTTGCTATCCCTCCAAAATCGAGATGACCCTAATACATGGTAACAAATCTATATTATATCTCAAACTCTACATCCGGTACGGCTATGCACACATGATATCTCTCTCTGCCATGAAACATGGCTAACCTTTTAAACTGTGATTCAAAACCTAAAGCTAAACTAAAACTCAACTGGGCTCTCCTTTGTCACCAAACTAAACCAATAAGTAATTTAAGATTATTATATTTTTCTATATTTGTATATTGTAATTAGTATATTGACGTAGTGGATGGTTGAGGGGGTTTCAAGCACAGGTCACTCTCAAATCCTAAAGATAAGCAGTGGCCTTCGGCACTTGAAACCTCTTGAAACCTCCCCTGATTTATTTATTATTGATATTGTTTGATTGTGCCGTAAAAATAAATATTTGTTTTATTAAATATTTGTTTTATTAATATTTGTTTTATTAATGTATGGAAACGTTGTTGCATGCAATTTCCAAGGAAGTAAGTCCCAGTCGAGAAACATTATGTTCGGTTTTGGTCAATTGTTTTCTGAGAGAAGGACGTAAGTCCGGACTTACTTCCTTTTCTAAGAAAATCTTGAAAATTTTCTAAGATAAGGAAGTTACTTACTTTCTTCTCAAAAAATGTTGAACAGAGATTTTTCTCAGAGGATTATAGAAGGAAGTAAGTCCCAGTTTTCTCAGAAAAATTAGCTGGATTATTTGGCATAAAAATAGTTATATCTTTACTGGGCCGCGCTCAGCCTGTCATTCCGCCGAATCTCTGATTCTCTATGAACATAATAGCCTGAGGTCCCCAGGTAATTATATTTAAGCTTATAGACGGCTCAAAACTTTAATTTTTTAACAAATTAAAATTTGACTAATTATTGATAAAGCGTGTTTACTTTCGATCGTACGCAAAAAATAAGCGGAGAAAAACCATAAACGCAAAAGTTGCAATATCTTGAAATGGCAAATTAAATATGGACTTACTGCCTTTTCTGAGAAAACGGCAGTGTAACTGGTAACTGTCACCAAAATGTAACTAGGTCGAACGGAGAAATTAGGTCTCACCCAGGAATTAGGTCACACGCAGGCGCGTGATATATATTTGTCATACGTTGTACATTGTATGACCCGCCGTGCGCGGATGCGCGGCTCCCCCTGTATCGTTGAAACTCTACAGGGGTTTCACTATAGTGAAGCGACAGTGGGGTCACCACGTGATACAAATATATATATATATATTTGAGACATTCAGTGAAACAGTAAAACACAAAATTCACATTAAGCTATCGATTGTGTAATCTTTACATGTCTCATTCTGAAAGCAAGTTTATTAAAATAACTGTTCTATGAAGTAAATTAAAAACATGACAAAAATAGATCAATACTGAGATGGGAAATTTGTGAGTAAGTCTCATTCAATCATAAGATATAAACAAAAGATGCAGAGGTGAAAGTAAACAACAAAATGCAAGTGTCTGTGGAAAGATTAAATATTAAAGCATATCATATAAAGGTCAATTTTTTATTTCATTAAGAGCACTACGTTTATTAAGTCCTCCAAAATCACTGAGGGTCATAAGCTGGTTTTGCCAAAATGATTCTCTTTCTTTAGCAACCCTACTTCTATCTTCTAAGGTTAAACATTTTATAAAATCTAGCTTTTCAAAAATAATAACCTCTATCTGATCGGATAACTCATTGTCAAACGTTTTTAAGGGCTCTTTGGTAAGATTATGAAACTGGTTATCGTTAAAATGACAAG